TACGGTCGATACCCCCAACAACCTTTAACTGTTCCCTTTATCCAAACCAACTGATTGTGTGCCTATCGAATTTCCTCGATGTACCGATACCGAAAATACCAAAATGAGAAGAAATCAACAACCATGAACACTGGGCCCGCAACCTATGTCTGGAATACCCTCACAGCGTCCTCAACATAGGTCTGGATTGCCATTGAGCCCACAACATGAGTTTGGAATGCCTTACCCGGCCCTCAGCCCATGACTGGAATGCTCCCGCTATTTCGCCGATCTTGTCGACCTTACATATTTCACCTGGAACTCACGACCCACAGTACGGGCCCAAAGACTCTCAGTCTCATCCCACTGCCTTGCAGGGACCTAAGCAACGTCCCTCTCAACAATAACTGCACAACAAGGATAAAATCTTACCATGCATAAATCCTTTCACAGAACATCTTGCTACCAATGCTATCTTTTCCAACCCACATACACACAATGAATTACTACGATGTACATCCTTAGGGAACCCATAACCTCACCCAAAAGGTAGAAATACCAAAGTTCTATCGAACAAAGGACCTCAATCTTAACAGAAGACATCCTGATGATCGATCAAAACAAGATTCCATACTTGATTGAGACTGAACAGGTTCCACCAACACGCAACTGACTCGAGAAGGCTTCCGAAACAACTTTGATCACCACCCAACCCAAGACTGCTATGAACCAAAATCCTACACCGCCAATGAGGGTAAGCATACCTAGAGACCAAAGGAACCTAAAACATACTAAATCTGATGATAAGATAACGCATCCAGAGAATTTCAACTGCCACACTCAAAAACTTCAAGGACCTTTTTTCTGAATGACAACGACACGACTAATAATCGCGAACACATGACATTAAATCAAATGAACCAAGACCCTTGTGGGGCTGAATGCACCAAATTCTGGAACTGATTCCTTGATCGATCCCTACCCCAAACTTAATTATAATTAGAAATCCTTACATCCAACTGACAATTTCCCTCCGCCACCAATACTTGACCTGAGTAATCCCAGCGGTTCTTATTTATTCATTGGCACCCCCGAAAGGAATCAATATCTGCAATGAGCTCCTTGATCACTCCCTTCCCGATGAGCGACAACCCATGTGTCTCCTCCACACATGCATACTATCGTTTCATACTATATACCCCTTCCTTGACCAAACCCTGAACCGAGATTCCACATACTTGCATCGCGGATCCCTAAAAACCATTCCTCAATACCATGAAACTGAACAGATCGAAGATCCTCCAAGCAGAATACCCAGTTCTCCCCCACTTAGGGTTCAAACTACCACCCACTAATGGTGAAACCAACCAATAACTCACCCTGCTCGACCAGGTACAACCATCCCCAGACCCCATGAATGAATAATACACAAATGATGATCTTCCATATAAGGATCACACGAATCCAAGGAGAATCCTGAATTCACCTGAAGATCTCCAAAATTTCCCAACCATAACCACTTATCACTAAGGATCCCTTACAAGGGCATAAACCAATACCGACTGACTTATGATCCCAAAACATACACTCCTCGCCTACACTTCCAACCGCCAAACTGATGCCCGTATTGCTATAACACAAGAACATTGACCCTTAATCACATCACAAAGCATCCATAATACATCAATCCGTTTGCACACTACCGCGTTGACATCCTGTCTCCAACACTGCGACCAACAGACCCCAAGCTGGGCTTACATCTCAACCTTGAAGGTCACAAGCCTACTCACTCCTTCCATGAACTCTGAAATTGAAAGGGAAAAATATCCACCATAGATAATGACATACTAACCATCGATCAACCACTCAACTTTTGACTCCGATCCCCAGGCCGCTCATATCAATTGTTTCCTCCTTGAGTCCAGCGACTCGAAAGCGCGGCCTTGAGCAAAACCCTCGAGACCTCAAAACCAACAAGCTCTCTGCACCAATCGATCCAAACCAATTTCGCTACTGGGGTCGAACCATTCCAGACCCATCCTCATATCTGAGTAACCATAACCAAAGATCAACAGATACGAAGCTACTGCCACGGATAATGGTATCAAACCATGCTAATCTCTCCGTACCGGTCCTTAGAATCCCCAAAACTCTCCCTGATTTGAGTATGGATCATGTGCTTCCAGTAGTATGGGCCCATTACTACCTTCCACACCTATCCATACCTTCCTCATAGATCATCTCGGGTCCTCTAAGACCTACTCATGATAATACCTCCAATACCCGCTCAACAGCGAAACAACCACACTAAAATACTTCCTAGACTCTCCTAGGATCCCCCATCTCCCCTGCCACCAGCTGCTGAAGAACTCCTCATAATGTCAGTTAGCTACTTCTTGAACACAATCACATGTAATAAGCTCAGATAATCCTTCAAGTAAAAGACTCATCCCTACAATAGTTGGACTCAGACAAGAGCTGCGCAATAGGGTCAAAACCATCACTATGAGATTATTCAAGCTTGATTACATGTGACATTACATATTCATGCAACAGCTAACTCACCTCACTCAAGAGTCCCACAAAGCACAAAGCAAGCAACATTCGAGTAGTGGATCCGACTGGCACTAAACATAATAAAATCAGATGGATTCTCAAACGAAATTACGATCTCAATCTCCCAATATCTCGGATACACACTACCAAACTCATTCACTCTATCCTTACTCCCTAAAGGAAGGCTAAACATATCGCGACTGGCCGGCTGACCCCACATAACTCATCCTACCACCAACTGTCCCACGACCCTCCATTGGTGCTAGATAACTATCACATGAACACTATAACATAAGCACAACTTAAATAATCTTAGGCTAAAAGATTCAATCCTGCAACGATTAGACTTAGACAAGAGCTGCGCAGCAGGACAAAATCCCTTACCATACGGCCATTTAACTCATGCAGTATGTTACTTAGCGCATTCACTCAATAGTTGGTTCACACACGAAAGAGTCGTACAACAATCAATAAGGCATTCTACAAGAGATAAGACATCATATCAGGCAATTCTATCATACGATTCCTGAAGATCATTATCCTATTACTAGCATGTTGTTTAAACATATCACAACATAATCTCAAATAACTGTGTGGTAATTTGGGGTCTACTTACTGGCTCCGACTAATCGTACACATCGCATCCTATTTGATTATTCTGAAAACCATTTGAAAATCTTTTTCCTTAGTTTGAGACTGGATTCACACGAGTGTTCCTCCAATTCACTCAAACCAAGGCTCTGATACCAACTTGTAACATCCCAAAAATCTCAACAAATTTTTAACCTTTTAAAAATTCCCATTTACTAAAGAGGTAATTACGAAAGCCATTGTTTCCAAAAGATTATTTAAAATCGGAATCGTTTACAACATAGTTCTCAAAACATTTTCAGTATCAGAGTTTCCCAGAAATCTTAAGTTCCAAAACACGAGAATGTGTACGGTAATGCCTTCACCTTGCCACGATCCACTAAGTACCTGAAACCATAAAACCAAAACTGTAAGCACGAAGCTTAGTGAGTTCCCCCAAAGTACCCACACAAACAATTAACACATACAATAACAACATGCAATGGGTCCACAACTAAAAGATTGGATTACCCTTAAGCCCACAGTATGAGTATGGCTTGCCTATCGGGCCCACAACTCATATCTGGCTTGCTCCTAAGCCCACAACATAAGTATGGCTTGCCCCCGTGGCCTACAGCTTATGTTTGGCTTGCTTCCTAGCCTAATTAGTCATTAGACTGGCACACAAATGTTCAACCCTCAGTACGAGTCTGGCATACCAACCGGTCCTCAATTCGTATCTAGCAATATGGAAAGATAAAAATCAGATCTTGGACACTTACAAAGGTTCAGAAGGATGCCAAGCTGAAAGATGAGGGACTTGCTTGCTGGATCTTGCTTCCTTCTTCCAACTCCTTCCTTCTTTGGCTCCAAAGCACCACACTAACTTACAAATAAGAGGGAAAAATGATTAGGGTTTCATTCAGGGCTTGAGGGCTGATGGGGGCCGAGGGTGAATAAACCCTAGCCTCCTTATTCCTTTAAATAGGGGCAAAAAACCCGGAAGATTAGGGTTTCATTTCTAGTGACCAACACGACGTGTTCCAGGAGGTAACACGTCGTGTTGCTCTTAATGAGACCCGCGTCTTTTCTTATCTCGACACGCCGTGTTGGTGCCTCCAACACGCCGTGTCAAATCCCCAAAAGGTGATTTATACCCAAAGTTGCTCCTCGAATTTCGGGTGTTACAACAACTTAGTGTTCACCAAGTGTACTCCATCCCCCCATGGTTGCCTTACTGACATATATTGTTATGGACTCCCCTAAGCATTATTGTCTATCCCAAAGATGATCCATATGATAGGTCTCTTGAAATTAGATGGTAAGGACATAAAGTGAGGATAGCGGGAAGGGGTAATCGGGCTGATGATTTGATAATAATAAATAAATATTTAATTATTGTGGGTTGAAAACTCTATGTGCTCACCAGACCCCCAAGCCCGACCCACTCGGTTTCTTATATTATAGGTAGTGGCATAAGAGCACAAGTGTGATGATATGATGAGAGATTTATGGATGTCTATAGGCCAGTAGTTTAGATAAACTACTAAACTAGTGTAAGGCCTGTATTATTTCGTTTATGCTTATGTACTGTATCGACAATGTCATCCCAAGTTTTTTAGTATAAATAAAATACGTTTCTTTGGAAATGTTTTAATAATATAATTATCATGTTTTTGGGAACAAATTCCGCAATATTATTATTTTAAGGATACTCTGATTTCAAAATAAACATAAATAAATCGGTCTTTTCTGATCGTGAAATTTGGAAATATCACAGATGAGAAATTAATATTCTCCCAATATTTTTTTTCATTTTAATTGCTCAATTGGGTTTTAAGTGTAATCCTTAGAAATATTACCAATAATTATGACCTTAGACACTATTTTCAACAATGAGTTCAAAAGGTAACATAATCTCTTGGGTATTGACTCGTTATAAAGAGATAAAAAATGAAAATAAATGGATATGTGTCAAAGTTCATTTTAGTTTGTGACTAAAGATCGACGGATGAAAATTGTTGCTATGTTTTCACAAAATTTATTGTTTCTAATAATGAAAATTTTGAACTACATCGGTTTAGATTGATATTTTGCTTCGTCGTGAAAGAACTTATTATAATGTATAGTTGAATTTGTTAACTTTATAATGATTGGTCTGATATATTATCCAATGCTAGCCCGTCTAACTGTATATTAGATCGATCAGGATGTCTATTAACATTATTGTTATTATTTTTATAAAACATTATACACTTAGCCATTTAATTTTTATGGTCGACGTTTTCGATTGGTAAAATAGTTTACAAAAGCTTTGTGTAATTAATAAAAAATGATATTCAATATAGTTGATGTGATGTAGCAGATAATTAATCAAAAATATATTTTATAACTATTATTTAATTTATTATTAATATAATAATATTAATAGATTATAATAATAATATTTAAAAGAAAAACAACTGGACAAAAAAAAAACATAAACAAATAAAAAACAAATTAAAGAAAAATAATGGAAAAAATCACAAATAATATAAGGATGCATAAAGAAAAATTAATATTAGCATAAGACTGAAATAAGTGATGGTGAGCTTACCGAGCTCCATTTCCAAATAACACTCCGCCTCAAGATATTGTAAAATTGTGAGAAAGAGAAGGAGTGGGGTATCGAATGAGGGAGAAGAAAAGGAAAATAGGAGAAGGATTAGGAGGAGGAGAGAGACTCTCTTGTGTTTACAATTTGTGTTGTCGAACTTGACATATCGAAATTGAGGATCGGTGTTTGCTGAGCTGACTCAACAACTTCGTCTAATAACAAGATATTATAAATCATTGATATTGAAAAAGTTAAAAAAAATCATGATGGCATTTTGCAGATAAGGAGCGCTGGCATATACCCTTTGAGTGATCAAGGCACTTAAAGATCAAATTGTAACCCAAAAAATTGATTATTTTCTGACATTGAGGTCCGGAATTAAGAGAATTAAATATATCCAAATGCATAAAAACCCTGTAAATCACAAATTCTGAGTAAAAGAAAAAAGAAAAAAAAAAAAAAAAAAAAAACTCGTATCAGAGCTAAATAATAAAACCCAAAAAAACCAAAGGAAAGCACACACAAACAGATACCGATTCCCCACTCTCTTTCTCTCACTAAAACCCTCAATTGTCTCTTTCTCTAAAATCATCACCCACCGAATTACTCCCCCCTTCATGTACGCTTCGCAGTATTGTGTTTCCACCATGAATCAGTAGTGAAATTCAGTTTCTCCAAATTCCTTGATCCAGTTAGCAGGTAAGAAATTTCATGTATTAAGCTGTTATATTGGGATTTTGCTCTGATTTTTTGGTACACAAATTGGCTTTGGTAGTTTAAATTGGGCGTTTTTTTTTAAACCGAAGCGTTTAAAATTCTACAGTTTTCTTGTCAATTGAATGTGTTGTATTTTTTATTGAATGATCTCGAAGTGTGTTTCACTTTCTTGATTCGATAGTGCATTGGTGCAATTCGACGATCAGATAACCCTACGGTTCGATTTTTCTTGATTTTTGTACAATTCGTGTTTAGATGATCATGAATTTTAACAATTGAGATTTGTTTTAAGTTAGAAAAAAGGGTATTAATGTTAATTGATTGTGTGCAGGGTTTGTAGGGATGGAATTGAGATCGAGTAGGGTGTTAAAAAGTGGGAGACATCGTGTTGTTTTGGGTCTTGAGAATATCAAATCTCCGATTGCAAAGAGGAAAAGGAGCTCTGGTAACAAGGTAGCAAATGAGGCTGAGAGGTCATCACTGAGATCTCATCTATCAAATTCTGGTAAAAAAGGAGCAAATGAGGCTGAAATTGGGGTATGTGTTGATAATCCTGATGAATATGTTGAAATGGGCACTGTGTTTTCAGAAGGTATAAAAGTTGGATTAAATACAGATGATAAAGGTTTGTTTTTGGGATCAGAGGTGTTGGATCCTATCAAAGATTTACCAGTTTCTTGTTCCGAAGGAGAAATCGAAGAGGAAAGTGTTGAATGTGTTCCTGTTGAAGAAGGAAATAAATCATCAACTAGTGAAACTGATCATTGTTTTAAGGAGGAAATTAAATCACCGCAGGACTGTGAACACGAGTCTGAACATGTAGAATCTGAAAAACTTGCTGATGGTACAAAGATTGTCCATGGTGATGACTTGTCAATGTTGAATGCTTCCAAGAATGCTGATAGTGGTATTGATAAAGTTATGCAAAAAAAGGGAAGAGGAAGGCCCCGAAAGAAAAAGAGAAAAATTAGCAACTTAAACAAGAATGAAGTAGAAGATGTAAATGGTGAAGTTGTTGAAAGTGGTATTGTAAAACAGAAAAGGGGAAGGAAAAGGAAAAATGTTAAGAAATCGGAATGCAATGGAGATGAAAGAGCTAAAAGGAAGAAAGTTGGGGTTCGGGTTAATGAGAGGGTGTTGCGGTTGAGGAATACGGTGGTCAGTGGTGGTGGCACGGTGGTTGATGGTGGCAGACCGGAGAAGAAGATAGAGAGGCGTGGAAGGCCTCGTAAGATACGTATTGAAACTAATGAGATTCCTTTAAAACCCTTAAAAAAACGGGGAAGACCACGCAAAATAGATGTTGAAAACAGTCAACCAAATGTGAAACCAAAAAACAAGAAACTAAAACAGGGGAAAGAAAAGGTATCAGACAAGAAAAGACTCAAAGATATGATTTTGAAGAAACTCAAAATGAGAAAAAGAAAATTGAAGCTTGTGGCCATTAAAAACAGCAACAGTGGGTTAGAGGCTAATAAAGTGAAAAGAATAAGAATTCGTAATAGGAAAAAGTGTTGTTACTGAGGGCATTATTGGAAGAGGAGAACGTAAGAAGTTATTGAGAGAGAAACTTCTTGATATACTTTCAAAGTCTGGGTGGACATTTGAGCGTAGACCAAGGCTCAATAGGGTGCATCAGGACATGGTGTATATTGAACCTAATGGGAGGACACATTGGTCAATCACAAGAGCTTATTCTAAGCTTACAAAAAAAAGTCAAAGATGGTGATGCTGATACTAATGAAGTCTCTGCATTTATGCCAATGTCACATGTACAAATCAGTATGCGATCCAAACGCGTGGATAAAGAATTAGGCTGCAAGAAGAAGAAAAACAGGATACAGAAAGATGGAAAAAGAATTAAAAAAGTATTCACCACCAAAAAGAAGAAAAAAGATGGCAAACCGAAACGTGAAAAGGGTATTATTGTCAAAAACAGAAAGCCACGCCTTTTAGTCCGTGGTTCAGAAAAGGGAACCAAACAAGATAACAATGGCTGTTTATTGTATAACAGGAAACGTAACCTTTTATCATGGATGATTGATTCGGGGGTAATTTTGTCCGGTTGGAAAGTGAATTATGGGAAAACTAGAAGGAAGAAAAAGGCATCGGAGGGGACAATTACAAGTGATGGGATCGTTTGCAGCTGCTGTAATCAAAGTATGAGTATATCAGAATTTGTAGGTCATTCTGGAGGGAAACTTAATCAGGTGTTTGATGATATATATTTGGAATCTGGAGTGTCTTTTAGGAAATGTTTATTGGATTCATGGAGGAAAGAAGAGGATTCTGGTAGTATCAGATTTAATCTTGTTGATATTGAAGGAGATGATCCGAATGATGATACATGCAACATTTGTGGAGATGGTGGAAATTTGATCTGTTGTGATGGTTGCCCTTCTACATTCCATCAGAGTTGCCTTGACATTCAAGTAATCGCAAGTTTCTCAATATCTGTTCTTCTTGTAATCTATTAAAAATTTGTTTCTCACTCACTTGGTTCATGTAAATTGTAGAATTTTCCTCCTGGTGAATGGAATTGCTTCTACTGTTCGTGCAAATTCTGTGGAGTGGTTTCCGTTATTGCCCCTGACAAACCTTCATCTGAAATGCTCTCATGTGGTTTATGTGAGGAAAAATGTATGTAATCTTGTACATGATAATTAACTACCAAAAAATGTCTTGGTTCTTGCTAATGTGTTGTGTTTTTAACAATGTAACAAACAGTTCACCAATCGTGCTCGATCGAAGTGGGACCCATTGATATGGATTCCAACAGACCACCTTTTTGTGGGCAGAAATGTCAGGAGGTATGCTGAAAAGTGAAAAAAAAAAGAGTGCCATTTGTAATTTGACTAATTTCTATGCATGAATTTGATTTTGATTTTTTTTTAAAAATAGCTGTTTGAGCGATTGCAAACATATATTGGGGTGAAGAATGAACTTGAAGATGGATTCACATGGAGTCTGCTTCAGCGTTGTGATATTAGTCAAGATTTGAGTATTCACGACATTAAATTAAAGGTGGAAAATAATTCGAAATTGGCTGTTGCATTTTCTGTTATGGATGAATGTTTTGTGCCAATTGTTGATGGGAGAAGTGGAACCAGTATAATCCATAATGTTGTATACAACTGTGGGTAAGTTCCAAATAACTATACGTTTCTTGAATATTTGATTAAAAATAGTATATATATGATTATGATATCTCATCTTCTTCCGGAAACTTTTCAGATCAAACTTCCGGCGGCTGAATTACGGTGGATTTGTTACGGCTGTACTAGAAAAGGGCGATGAGTTGATCACAGCAGCATCTATACGGTTACATGGGTCCCGGTTAGCTGAAATGCCATTTATTGGGACCCGCCACATGTATAGACGTCAAGGGATGTGTCGCCGCCTTCTCGATGCAATTGAATCCGTATATATATATATATCTTACTTACTTACCCAACCTTATTTGTTACATTTCATTTTTTTTTAATTGTTATTTATATATTAAAAAAATATTTCAGACTCTTTCTGCTATTGGTGTGGAAGAGCTGATCATTCCTGCAATCCCTGCACTTGTGCAAACATGGACCAAGGTTTTTGGTTTTCTCCCACTTGAAGAATCAAAGAAACAAGAACTGAAGTGCATGAGCATGATTGTGTTTCCTGGTATCAACATGCTTCAGAAGCCTCTTTTTCATCCATCTGCAGGTAAACTCACAAATGATTGTCTTTATTTTTCTAAAAAAAAAAAAAAAAAAAAAAAAAAAATTTAAGTTTTGATTCTGAAATCTGTTTAAACTCTGTAGATTCTGGCGAGAAAGACTTGGAATGTACCACAAACCATAAAAGTGTCTCTCAAACGACACCAAGCAATGCAATAGATTGCAATGAAATGCCTGCTGAAAATGCCATTGATTGTGAGAAATTGGAAACCACATCATCAAATGCAGTAGTAGATTATGAGGAAAAGCCTGCAAAAGATGCTTCTGTTGGTTATGAACAAATGGAAGAAGATATCATGATAATGGATAATGGCGGATGTCCAGAAGATGATAAATTAACTAATTCTCACAACCTGTACGACTTAAATTTTCCAGTAAAAAACATTCCGGATTGTACTATTCGACCTTGTTCTACAATGACTTGCGGGCCACACCAATCGTCGGAATCGGAATCACACGTCGAGAATCGTGATTCTGTTTCTGCTGTGGTCAAAGAGTCTCCATTGACTTCCCAATTGGTTCCCAAAATCACCTTTGACTTGAATCTGCACCCTACAACAACTGTGGTTGATTTCGTTGGTGACGATTCCAAGCCTTGCGATATTCGGCCTCTTGTTTTGCTTTGACTCGGTTTCGAGAGCCTAAGGTCAGATTATATTATTCATAAAATTTTGAAAAATGTGAGGTGATGTCTTTCTTATTCCAATTCCATTAATTTGCAGGTAGATCTGACTCCGGTACTGGATGGAATTACATGGTTGCATGTTAATAATAATCAACCGCTCCCTTTCAGATGCTCTAGATATGCAATGGAGAACCTTTTTTTTTTTTTTTTTTTTTGTAGATTTTAGGTTTGTAAATTAATCTTTCGTTGAAAGGTTTGTAGGGGAATAATTTAACTCAAGTTAGGAGATGGAATCCAGAATTCCGACGGGTTTTGTGACTCCATGACAATGTTAATATATGAAAATATAGAGGCTGGTAAAGTGGATCTTCATGTTAAGGTAAATTTCACATCCCGTTTCTTGTCACCTTGATAAGTGGTTTTCTTTTGCAGTATGTTGGTTTTAGAGTGCACTAATTGGTAATTTTGCAATTGTAGGCGGGAGCTTTTGGTAATTTTGCACTAGTTTTTTTAGCAATAGCAGTCGTAAGGTAGGCAGGAGCAACTCATGGGGACAATGGTTGTGTCTTGGAATTTGCTGTGTCTGAATAATCATAAAGAGTTTGTAGAAGTTGTGTTGCCCCTTTCCATTTGCATTACGTCCCTTTCAAAGTGTGATTATGTGTAGTTGTTAGCTTTTTTGACGTAGCTGTTCACATTAAAAGGATAACTCCTTTTAGAGTACTTAATGAGTTAATTCCCAAGTGATCACCACTAAGCTTAACCATCTTAAGGATGAATGGGTGGAGAACAACTTGAGATCAACACACACGACACACCAAAAAAAATGTCTCATCTTCATTCCCACCGGCTTCAGCTATATTTGAGTTGTTTGTAGGGAAGCAAATCAACAATAACCTAAACTTAATTCAAAACTAATGTGATGATTCTTATGATTTATACGACTACACCAAAGTTGCAAAAGCCTTATTAAGATGACGGATTCTTCATATCATGACTTCTATTTAAGTGCTTTTTAGATTTTGCAAGCCAATTAGCAAGATGTGAGTTTTAGTTATAAAAAACAGAGTAAATGACACAAATGGTTCTTGTGGAGTAGGGATGAGCTCGGTTCAAAACCTATCCCAAATTCGGTTGGAACAAAAAAGCCCAAACCAAGAACCTAGGACCCAGGACCATATGGTACATGTACTTCGGTTCTCGTATTCGGTTCCATTACCCGCAAACCCACTTTTTGTATGATGACCATATGTTTGTGTTCTTGTGTGGTTTACTTGATGTTCTTGAAGTATTTTAGTTAAGGTTAAATATGTCACTTATGGCATACTAGAGGAACCATAATAAACCAAAAGAAACCATAAAAGTCCAACATATTTTTTATGTATCATGTTTTCAACACAAAAAAAAACAATAATATTATGTTTGTTCCAAAACCCAAAAAAAAAAACAAAAAATTAAACATCAGTTGACATTTTTCTTTTCCTACCCGTCTTGATCGTGTATTCAGTGGCGGACCTTAGTGGTGCCCGGAGGGTCCCGGGCCACTGCTCCTATTCCGGCACATAGTGTAATTTTTTTTTTTAATGTTTTTTTAATGTTTTTTCTATTAGGTGCACCGGCTTAAAATACGAGCGTCACTACTAAGAGGGTGTTTGGCTAAGCTTTTTAAAACAACTTAACATGGTTCCACACCACTACAAGTTAAAAAAGTGTTCGGATGAAAGTAACTTATCCGGTGGAGAACCTCTAATAAGTCATTTTTTAATAAGTTACCCTATACTTACTTATTAACTCATAAGCTAATAAGTTATAAGCTATAAGCTAATAAGCAATGCCAAACACCCCCTAATTTAGATTTTTTCGGAAATTTTTTTTAGTGTCACCCCTACTAAAACCTTCTGCGTTCGCCACTACGTGTATTGCTTCTTTCCATAGTAGTTACTATCTAATAATTCTAATTTATGGTTTGTAACAAATAAAACAAGAAATGTTATGAAAAATAAAGTAATTATCCAACGCTACATCGTCATCTTTTAAAATATCGTCAACATTACCAATAATTGGTTTATTTGATTTTTAATTCAATTTTAGGTGCAATCCAATGCCTCCGCTATCGGTACTGTAAAATGAGTTTGATACTTGTCTCATATGCGACCACAAATGCTAAATGCTAATTCGGATGCCACAATCGATACTTATATGATCAAACATCTAACAAAAAACGATTAAAATTATAAGTCGATTACTTTATAAATAAACTTAAAAAAAATACTAAAAAGAGTATTAGAAATTACATTTGACCATTTGAGAAGCGATATGGAATGCAACATGTTTTGTTTCCACCACTTAAGGATGTTAAATTAGGGGTGAGTAAGACTGTCAAAATTTCAGGCCTGACCCGATACCCAAAAAGCATCGTTTATGTTAATATGAGATGATACTTGGCACTCGAAAAATTACGAAAAGTAGGTTCAATATTGTTGGTACCTGTGCTAGTACCGAAAACGAGTATCATATATGGTACTGGTAATGTTGGTTCCGTTTGGTACTCAATATTGTTTTTTTTAACAATTTTTGTGATCCTACATAACATACCCACATAGTCCACATAATAAAAAAGTTTGCGAGAACTCGCCTAAATTGACGACAAGATGAAATCCACAATCTAAAGTTAGTAATATCAAGTCTTCCCTAAAACTACACAATAATTAACCCTAATTTAATAATTATGGTGAGACATTTATCTACACTTCCTTATCGAGTATAGGTCCAAATAAAGCGTACTATTGGCAAAAGACCATTTAGCCCCTCCAAGACCCAAACGCAACATAGTTAACCAAAAGTCAAACTTGTTCAAAAAGTCAACTGTCAACATCATCACGTCGCTACTAACACAGGTTCGCTACGCTAACGGCTAGATGACATGATAGTCGCGATTTGCTTAAAAAGTCGTTGCGCTATTTTGTTGTTTAAGCCAACTTTCATCCAAGGTCTTAATCATTTAAGACCTAAGCTCTAAACCTCCAAATCACGTCAAAATGTATTCTTAATGGACAACGTTTTCAAATTTATCCATTTGCACGTTCTTAACGCCATCATTCCAAGTCTATGCCAAAAAATGAGATTAAAAAGCTCTTAAACTCATAAATGGACCAAATAACAAGATAAACTTCTCATCTTCATACCACAATGGATCTAAAAAGCCAAAAAAAAATATACAACCTTTAAGGCTAGAGACTCACCAAACAACAAACAAGAGACCAAAACATGCATAAAACAAAAGATCTAGACCTAATAAATCATAAGACTATGGTCATTGGTGACTAAATGAATATTTGGTTGCTAAAATTGATTAAAAAGAAAATAAACACTTTGAAACCAACCGACGGGGTTGCTGCATCCATGCCCAGTCGCCCATTTTTTTAGAAATATAGTTGCCACGTAGGTAGCTCACAATATGACATTTGGATTCTTCTCAATGGTTAACTAATTTTAATTATTATACAAAACGTATACTACATATATTTGTATGTTATCTATATGTGTATTTATAATTTTACACAACATTAAATTATATCAAAATTTATAACTTTATTTTCACTACAAATCAAGACCAATATTGGTGTATCTATAATAAAACTTTTTATAATAAAATTATAAATAATTTTTAAGTTTTAAAATAAATATATTACTTGTATTTTATAAAATAAATGTAACATACACGTTTTGAAATCGTGTTTTAAGTAACTAATATTATGAAATATTATGTGAATTTGAGTAATTGAGTTCTAACATATGGTTTTTACTAGAATTGAAGTAAAAACTATGCTTAGAATCATTCAGAAAGTATTGGAAGTCTTATGAGATTCCAATCAAATGTCAAATAGTGAAATTTAACGAAAATATAAAGTTTGAATAAGTAAAATTTTATTATTCAGAGTTTTAGATAATCTCATTAGAAACATTTAGGCGAAAACCTCATCGAAATCCGAGTTATAACGAAGAAGTTATGACCAATCGAAGATCCGCGACAAAACCGGCACGGCGCCGAATGACGTAAAAAGTGAGTTTTTGATAAAATACTTTTTAGTCTTATTAATCTAAATGAAAGTCGTAGTATTCGTTAAACCGAGAAGTTCGATAAAAAAGAACGCCAAAATCTGACTTCGTATGAAAAAGTTATGATTTTTCTAAGTTTCAGCTTAACAGTAAACGACTAAAAACTCGAATTTTAGATCGAATGATTTTTATCCGACACAACCTAAACAAGAATTGAAGATCTCGTCAATAGTAGTACAACGGTAAAAAGTCTGACGAAAACGGATGTCGGATGAAGAAATTATGAATTTTTAACGGATTTTCCAGTCCCGGTCTGTTAAAAATAATAATATTAAAAATAAAGTCAAAATTAGCCGACGAAGTCTAAACGAAAGTTGTAGAATATATTCCCGCCTACGCGTGCATATAAAGAACGTCAAAAACGGAGCCCGTATGCGAAAGTTATGGAATTTAGAAGATTTGGGTCCATTTTCCGAGGGAATCTCACAAGGATAAGGTCCGGAATAGGCCACGCCATCGGATCCTCGCATGCATACCCCGTGCCCGCCATGCGTGTCACTTGCTGATTTGACCGAAGAAGTGGTCCAATGGCCTTCCGACGTGCCTCGCTTCTGACTCTGCCCCGTGTTCGAAGTGTTGGATCAATCCGAAGCCTGCACGCAGCCATCTCGCATCCGAGCCTCGCCCCTTCTGCCATGTGTTCCGAACCTCGCAGCCATCTTCCCTCTCCCTCTTGCTTCGGATCCGAGGCTCGCACCTATATAAGGGGTGCGAGACCTCCCGGGTAAATGTTAGAAAATGTGTCGTTTTCACCCCTAAACTTATATTTCTTCTACTTCCACTTCCCCCGAAGCCCCGAGATTATTTCCAACGCCCGAAACACGCCCCGAAGTTGCCGAGAAGCCCGAAAAATTTATCTTTTCAGTTTTGAAGCCCAACCCTCGCAGGGCCCGGTTTTCAACGAAGAAAGCTAATTATAGTAACGAAGTGTTGCCCAAATTACTATTTTAACCCCCGGTTATTTCACGGTGAGTTTAATATATAGGAACAATTGTATGTTATGTGTTATATGTCCTATGTGCTTATCAGTGTTATTATTCCGGGTTATTTTCTCGTGTTATTTTTATTCGCTATTTTTTTAATATCAAAGTAATACCTTTGACCATGTGATCAGTGAAATGACTTAAATTCACATTGGTACTGGTAGTAGCATCT